CCATGGCGGGTAGTGAATCACTGCGCCGAGAAAATCATGAGGAAAAAGTAACTCTAATTTCTTTAAAATGTCGAGTTCTGAAAATTAGAGGGGAAAGAAGAAAGCGCGAATCCTCTATTTTGCCCGTCCATTCTCACCCGCACCTCTCTCTCTTTCTTTGAACGTTTGCCTTAATGTGTCGCTGTTTCTGCAGGCCCCAGGCTTCAACCCGCGCAGCCTCGCTCAATTTTGAAGCTCAATAAAAGTGACCTACTTCACTCCATCTTGCTCTTCGATCATAAACTCACCCTCCCTACGTTCAAATTGCTTTTTTCGCTTATACCGTCTTTGTCAGAGAAACAAATTGGGGGAGGGGATTTCCTACCAGATTCAGCAACAGGAGCGTCCATAGCAGCTCTGGAAAAAGACGATAATAATCACGCCACTAGGGTGAGACTGGGTGTGGCCCACTGTCATCAGGACAAGAGCCAACAGAATAGCCTCCTTCAGAGGCGGGTTCCCTTAATAAAACACTAATCTCTCAGCGAACTGGAACCTGTATAAATTGTTAACATACATCCTTAAATCAGGAATTTATTTTTAACGTTCATCGTGAAAGAGCAGTACTTCATCACGATGAAGTCACCAATGGAGCCATTCTGGTCCTGCAGGATTCAACAAAAAAGGCCCACGTAATGAAGGACTAAAACAAAGAACTGCGGATACTGGAAATCTTAAACAAAAATTGCTGAAGAAACTCAGCAAGTTCTCTACACGGATAACGAAGGAAATCGCCTTCCAAACTAGTTGAAACCAATGGTTTCTGAGCCCCAAGAGCCTACAAATCGAAATAACTGTCCTTTTCAATCAGCAGTGATCATTGCCAACTATCATGGAGAAAATACTGCTGGTGATCTTTGCCTGGTTTCACGGGTGTTTTAAGGAATGTGGAGATGTTTCTGAAGGAATTCTAGAGCTTAAGGCTTGGCCACCAATAGTGGCATGAAGGGAATGGGGATGAACAAGAGGTCTGGATAACATAAATACAATTTTCTTGGAGGTTCAAAGACTTGAGGAGTTCACAGATATAAAGGAGTGATGCCCTAGAGGGATTTAAACACCAGGATAAAAATAATAAAATTAAGCTGATGTAGATCAGCCGACATAGGTACTTGGTGCATGTTAGGATACAACAGCAATGTTTTGCTTGTGTTTATGAAGGCAAGAAAATTGAAGATCAGCCAAGACAGCATAGGAATAATCAAATCTGATGGTAACAAGAGCATGGTAGAAGGTTTCAAGAAATAGCATTGAGGATTTTAGTAACCGATAAGTTGGAACCAGGCAGAGGCAGGCAATATTACAACCAAACATATAAATTAGAGCAGGAGTAGGCCACTCAAGCCTGCTTTGCCATTCAGTGAGATCATGGCTGATCTGATTACCTCCCCAATATCTTTTAACCCCTTGCTTATTAAGAATCCATCTACTTTGCCTTAAAACTTTACAAGGACGGTCTTTCCATTGCATTTTGAGGAAGAAAATTCTAAAGACTCATGACCATCTGTGGGGAAAGAAATCTCATTATTTCTGTCTTAAGTAGACCACTTCTTGCTTTTAAACAGTGATCCTTAGTTCTAAATTTTCCCACAAGAGGAAATAACTTTTCTACATTCACCCTGTCAAGACCGCCCAGGACCTTATATATTTTAAGCAAGTTGACTTCTACTCTTTGAAACTCCAATGAATATAATTCTGGCCTGTCCAACCTTTACTCATAAGAGAATCCACCCGTTCTCGGTATCAATCTAGTAAACGTTCACTGAACTGCTTCCAGTGTATTTACATTGTTCCTTAATAAAATGACTAGTGCTGTATACAGAACTCCAGATGTGATGTTACCTTTGCCCTGTATAGCTGAAACATAACCTCCATACTTTTACAGTAAATTCTGTTCACAATAAATGATAACATTCTATTAGCATTACTGATTCTTTCTCAACTTTCATACTAACCTTCTGTGAATCATACAGTAGATCACCCATTTCTTTGCTTCTTAGAGTTCTGGAATCTCTCACTATTTAGATAATATGCTTATTTTGTATTCTTCTTGCCAAAATAGATAATTTCACCTTTCCCCACATTATCCTCTATTTTCCAGAACTTTACTCACTCACATAACCTATTTATATTCCTTTCGAGCTTCCTTATGACCTCTCCACAACATATTTTGCTACATATCTTTGTGTCATCAGCAAATTTAGTAATCATACCTTCTGTCCCTTCATCCAAATTATTTAAGCATATTGTAAACAGCTGAGGCCCCAGCACTGATCCCTGTGGCATACCACTCATTACATATTGTCAATGAGAAAATTTCTATTTATGCCTACTCTGTGTTTCCAGTTAGCTGATCAATCTTCTTTCCATGCCAAAGTGTTACCTTCCATCTCCTAGATCTTATTTTCTGCAATAACTTTTGATGTGGCATCTTATCAGATGCCTTCTAGAGATCTAAGTATAGTACATCCACCAGTTCCCCTTTATCCACAACATGTTACTTCCTCAAAGAACTCCAATAAATTAGTTAAACACAAATTCACATTCATAAGCCGTGTTGACTCTGCCTGATTTATTTGAACCTTGCAAAGTGACCTGCTATACCTTTAACAATCGCTTCTAGCGTTTTCCCTATGACAGATATTAAGCTAACTGGCCTGTAGTTTTCTGCTGTCTGTGTCCCTCAGTTTTTGAATAAAGGAGTTACATTTGCTATCTTCCAATCTAATCAAAGATGCAGCTTCAAGAACTTCAATACCACTTCCCTGGTCATTAATTTTGCTTAAGTTCCTCCCTCCTTTCCATTTCCAGATCTATGGGATGTTACTTATATCCTCTATAATGAAAGTGGATGCAAAATACCTACTCAATTATTTTTGCCATCTGTTCATTTTCCATTATTAATTGGCAAGATGCACTTTCTAGAGGACCAACACTCACTTTGTTGACTCTTTATGTTTATAGAAGTATTTCTAGCTAGCTTTCTTCGTACACTAATTTTTTTCTTCATTTTGATTTAGTCATTCTTTGCTGACTTTTTTATTCTCAGCAATCTTCTGATGTCCTGCTAATCTTTGCATAATTATACGTTTTTTTCTTAAGTTTGACACTATCTTTTATCTTTCCAGTTAAC